TAATTGAATTATGAAATAATTTTTCCCCAAAATTATGTAGAATGGGTTCTGAAACAGCCTGAGTAATTTAGTGACTTAGGTCCTGTCACAAAATAAAAAATAAAAAGGGCTGGGGATGTAGTTTGGTGTAAGGGTGCTAGGTTCAATTCCTAGTACTGGGGGATAAAAAGAGATATATCGAGAGCTGATCAACAAAGCATTCTGCAAATACATTAAGACCTGGTTGTCAGTAATATATGAGTATATATCACATACTTTAAAAAATCAAATAGACTTTATTGAAATATACAACTATTAATCCAAGATTACGTACTACAAATACCAAATTTTTACTTTATTATTTTCACATTTTCTTCATCTCCTTTAAGGGGCCACAATTCTTAATTTAATATAAAGTAAGACAATCATAATTGCAAATCTATGATATTTTTATATTTTATAATGAGAAAAATTTCAAACTATATATCTACCTTTCTATATGGAGATATACATAAATATATATATATATATATCAGTGTTCCCAACACAAGGCAGGAGGAAATAATGCACAAAAAATGACAATATCTGGCTAACAATGTGTTCAGAGAATGATGACTTTGAAATTATGCCATGAGTGCCTAAATATCTAATACAGCAATTCAGTATATGATATATCAATTAAAATTTTAGATAAACGATATTCATCACTTTAAAAACCAAAACTTAGGTTAGAAAAACATTTCTGATATACACAGAATTCTACCCTTGCAGAGGACTCTGAACACACTTTGATCTTTGGGATTTAACACATCATAATCATGAGGATTACTCTTTGCTTCTGTCCTAAATTGCTCTAGCCCACTGTGCTTTTAGAAACCTTGGATCATTTGTTTTCGAATCATAATTTTCTTATTATTATAGAATCATGCATATACACTGTAGGAAGTTTTACACACTGTAATAGAATGTAAAGAATCCAATAAAAATCATGCCCCAGAAGCAACCATGGTGAAGACTTTAATGACCTTTTTACACACTGTACTAGTTTGTGGACCACAAAGCATGTGCCTTAAAACAACAGAAATTTTAAAAAAGCAAACCAGAACAGAAATTTATTCTCTTAGTGATCAGGAGGCCAGGAGTCTGAAATGAAGGTGTCAGCAGGGTTGGTTCTGTGGAAGGAGAACCTGTCCCTCGTGTCTTCTAGATTGTGGTGGCTGCTGCAGTCCTTGACTACCAGGCACACTCACCTAGTCTCTGCCCCGTGGCCTTGTTCTCTGAATGTGTCTTTCTGAGTCTCTCCTTTTCCTATAAAGGACACTAGTCCTTGGATCTAGGGCCACCCCTCATCTAGTACAACCTCATCTTCACTGAGCACATCTGCAAAGACCATGTTTCCAAATAAGGCCATATTCTGAGGTTCTAAGTAGACAGGAATTTGGGAGGATGCTTACTCAACCAATACATACAACATAATACATATTTGTATAGCCATAATAAGGGAATTACATTTTTACATGGCTTAGTTCCCTTTCCATTTACATCATAGAAATTTCTCCATCTTTCAAAAATGGCATCTGAAATTTTTTAGAGTAGTCCATTATATGACTCCTGTCACTTACAGAGCTTTCCTACAACTTCAGACATGAAATGGTTTCTAATCTTTATTGTTACAGATGACCCTGGTGAATGTACACATACCAAAACCTTGGGATTTCTCTCTGTTCATTTCTTTGGTATAAATTATAATGAGTTGAATTATTGGATTAAGGAGTATGAACATTTTAAAAGCTTGTGCAAAATTTATTTAATTGAATCCAGAGACTGTATCAATTTACTGTTCTCAGCAAGAGAGGAGAGGGCCCATCCCATGGCATCCTGTTCATACTGTGCTTTGCAGTTGCTTTAATATTTGACAAATAGTAGCGAAGGAAATGACATCTCTTCTCTTGTAGTTGTATTTTTATGTGAGGCTGCATCTTTTTTGCTTTTGGTTGGTTACTTTCACTGCATTTCTGAATAGCTAGTTTATATCTTATATCTCTGTCTAAATTATTTTTAGTTGACAAATTGATATCCCTTATCTGAAATGCTTGGGCCATTTAGATTTCAGAGGGGTTTTTTTTTCAGATTTAGAAAAATTTGCATATACATAATGAGATATCTTGGGAATGAGACCCAAGCCTAAACACAAAATTTATTTGTTTCATATACACATAGCCTGAAAGTAATTTTATGCATATTCCTGGTGTGTCTCATTTTGACTGCAGCCCATCACGTGAGGTAGGTGTGAATTTCTCACTTGTGGTATCATGCTTGAAATCAAAAGTTTTGTATTTTGAGCTGGTGTGGTGCCACATGTCTGTGATCCCAGCACTCAGGAGGCTGAGTTAGAATACGGCTGTGAGTTTGAGGCCAGCCTGGGCTACATGGTGATTTCAAGTTCAGTCTGGACTACATAGTGAGACCCTGTCTCAAAAAAAAGAAAAAGCAAAATAATAAAAGTTTTGGATTTCATATTTTTTGGATTGAGGTTGCTCATCCTGACATTATTGTGTTTTTTGTCCCGTCCCCCACCCCGTGTGTTTGTGTTTTTGAGACAAGGTCTTGTAATATAGTTCAGGCTGGACTTGAATTCACTATATAGCCCAGGCTGGCCTCAAATTCACTGAGATCCTCCTACCTCAGCCCCCTAAGTGCTGGGATTACAGGTATGCACCATCACAACCAGTCTCTGTCATTATTTTTTTGTTGCTCTTTTTTTTTTCTGGTACCGGGATCAAACTCAGGACCTTGCGCTTGCCAGGCAGGTGCTGTGCCAGAGCCACATCTGGACCCTGTCATTACTTCTTTACAGTATTTATTTCTTTCCATCTTGCTGATGAATACACTGTTCACCTCCACCGTTTTTAGTTGGCTGTGAGCTAAGAAACTGTGCAAAGAAAACCTCTCCCTTCCTTCTCCCCATTCTCTTGACCACCTCTGAACTTTGTGCAGACTGCAGTCATTGCCTCTGTTTGTGTCTTAATTGTTTACTAGTCTCTTTCTTTTCTGAGACTTCAAGGCTTTTGGGACAGAGCTCATGTCCTATCCATATTTTTGTGGAAGTGGTTGTTAGATTAAGTCCTGGAAATGTTTAAAATTCTTTATTAAAACAGAATAGCTAAGTAAGGTGTTATAAAATACGTAAATTATCTTTTTTTTTTTTTTGGTACCAGGGATCAAACTCAGGAGTGTTCTGCTTGCAGGGCAGGCTCAGTGCTACTGAGCTAAATCCCCGGGCCCATAGATTATCTTTTCTAAGTATAGGATTTAATCCATGACAGTTGTAATTTCACTTTAAATTTTTTGAATTTTTTCTCTTATAATTTCAGCTATGTTTTTGAGATAATTGGGACTCTGAGTGATATTATCTAAATAGGCAAAATGTTAGCAACAATAAGCATAATATTTCTATGAGAGTTGAAATTGTCAGAATTTTTAATTTTATATTGTTTCCATTAGAATTATTGGCTATACTAGTAATAAATATAGCATAAATTTATGCAATTTGTAAATTTTGACATAAATTCCCATTTAAACTTCAACTGTGGGGCAGGGGATGTACCTTAGTGGTGCCCCACCTGCCTGGCAAGTGCAAGGTCCTGAGTTCGATTCTTGGTACTGGAAAAAAAAAATCAATTGTGAGAAAATCTATTTGAAAAATATTTTGAAAATATCTTTTCATATTTCCACTCACAGTGAGATTGTACAATGTAACTTGAAAAATTATGAGAGAATTTTGAAAAATTGCCTTAGCTGCAAGAAATTTCTTATCAACTTTATTAGCATTACTCGATGGTCAGATTTATTTTCACACGTATATTAAAATCATTGCCTGCCACAAGTGGGTTTTCTGTTCTAATAGTCCGAAACGTCCTCCATCCCTATCCTCGGCCCTACTTTCTCCTCCCTCTTTCCCATCCCACAGGACTAAAATGCCACTGCCCTGGAGGCCCAGTTCAAGCCCTGTTTCCTGGACTGTGAGTGGCCCCTTCACCCCAGCACAACCAGGGAGCTCTTTCCACCCTCCCTGCGCGCTTGGGGCGCGTTCATAACCCAGTAATTCTGCGAAGTGCTCTCGCTATTGATGAGCAGATTTAAACTCCCCTATAGATGGTAACCATCTCAAGAATCGGGTGAAAATGGGAGTCTGCTGAACACACTCGAATGTCGTTTATGCCACTGGGTGTAACGCGAACGCTTGAAGGGCATCCACTTTAGCCATCCTGAGATTGAAAGAGCCTTCTAGGAATGTTGGAGGGCGGGCACTTTTGTGGTCTCACAGCCTGCCTCTTTTTGGAGTTGTGATGTCTCTGCTTCATTAAGAAGGTCTTCTCAGACCCTCTCTCTCACCGCGTGCAAATACCACGTGCAAGCGCGTGTGAGCTTGCGTGTGCGCGCACATGCGGTGGGAACCAACCTCGGTTTGGAGGGAGAAAACGCATCGGCCGGGAGCTTCTTTCATCCTGGCTGTTAAAATCTAAGTCTTTCGAGTGTTTAGCATTATTTTGTTGAAGGGGCTTTCGGGTTTTCCGAGTGGACGCCGTCTGCCAGCACCGCGGAGGACAGAGGTGAGGGAGATTTTGTTTTTAACAGCGTGGGCGTTTTACCAAACAAATTGGTCGTCGGCTTGGTGAATTAAATATAAGCCAACTGAGGACAATTTCCAGGTCGCAGCGCAGAGGAGCGGGAGTCTGAGGTTGAAGGAGCCATTTCGGCGGGGGGATGCAACAGGGTTCGGGAGAGGGAGACAGCGAGAAGGCCACTTGGCGGGCTTTGTTTTCGAAGGGGCCCGCTTCCCGAGCAGAGCTCCAGCGCGACCCCAGCGGAGGCCGAGGGGGCTCTCCCCACACTAGTTGGAAGGGGAAGGGAGTGACTCATGTTACACCGGTCCGATCTTCCCTCCCCGTGGCTGCTAAATCGTAGCTTTAAAAGGAAGTGACATGGGTGGGGAGAGACGTCAGCTGAGGACCACTTTTTTTCCTTCCCGTAGGGTCCACCCCTTGGGTGGAGTCTCGCTTTTTCTTTCCAGTGTTGGCTGACTTACAGCTCCTATAAAGTAGTGGCAATTTCTGAAGCCCAGCCGGCTGTCGCTCAGTTTCTGGCTCCTAAGTCCATGTCCCAAGGGCTGCCAGGAAAGAGGTAGGTGCCTCGGTGCCATCTCCAGGCACCTTCCCTGGGTGTGGCCGGCTCTGGATTCCTCCGGCTCGGCTCCCGCCTGCGTCTCCCTCGGACCCTGCCTGCGGGGTGGGCGCCGGGCGGGACTTGCGGCGGGGCGCAGGGGCCGGTTGGTTTCGCACCCACCGAGGGACCCTTGTTTTGTGCGGCCGCTGAGCGCCCTTTCGGGGCTGTGGACAGCTTCAGCTCGTGCCCGTCCACCCCTCCTCGAGGGAAAGCAGTTCTCTGCCATAGACGAAGCTAGGGAGAGCGTTCGTGGTACATATTGCTCTCTTTTGTGTCGTGCAACACGTTTTTTTCCGTCCCCTGGCGTTTCTATGGCAACCGCCAAAAAATACTATCCCAAATGCAGCCCCGATGTAAATTGGTTTATTTGTATTTCCTTCCTGAGTCTGCTATGGCTTGGGCTTGCCGGGGTCCGGCGAGGCTAGGCAGCTACCCCTCCTCACTTTCATTTTGGTTTTTCCCTATCACAGGAGGACTGGGGGAGGGGAGTTGTCAAGGAAACAGGCATTTGTAATTGCCTCTTTATTTACTTAATTTTTAGGCCTACAAATGTCTCCATCATCTAGGAATTTAAAAAAGGAATACTTTAATATTTTTGGAAGTCTTCAGTGTCTGGGTTTTTTTTTTTCTTTAAAAAATCTATAAACATTTCTCAAGATATGGTACTCTGATCAAGCTAAGCCAGAAAGGACACTTAATTCTTTATAGAGCGTGAGAGAGCCTTGAAATAAAGTTTTAGAGAGTGCTTGAGAATTCAGCCTGATAAATACATGTTATCAGCTGCCCAGTACAAGTCTAAATACTTAAAAGATAGGTCTTTGCTCTAGTCTGAACTTAATTTAGCACCAAATGGAAGTTCAGTTAGCAGGAGTGAGTAACAGATGGTAACTGCCCAGTAGGAGTCTGTGTCTCCTTTTTGTGCATTACCCTTAGATTGCCAACACTCCCACCATCCTGAAGGCCAGGGTTAGTGGACTTTCTCCTTGCACAACTGTAGAAGACTTTGCCCATCTGTGGTTATTAGTCAGCCATCCTCAGCTAGGAAAAAAGTATCTTGAGAGAAGGGAGAAAGTGTGTGTCAGTGTAGAGGTGTGTACATGCTGTGTTGTGTGCAGGGAAGAGGGAGACAGGTAGGGACCTCAGGAGCAAAAATCAGGAATCCTAAGTTAAAACTGCTGATCTTTTCATGTTCTCTGTGGGGAGAGAAAGCCCTGATTTTCAGGGGGAAAAGCATGAAACATGAGAGAAAATTATCATCTACCTAGTAATAAGCAGAAAACATGAGAATCAATACATCTCTTAGAAAGGCATAGTCCAAATGGGCCTATTAGCAGGTGTCAGTTGTCACTTCAATGATACTTTTAGTTGGTACATCTGAGGAAATGTTTGATAATGAACTCAGCTCTATTGATGGGACTCCCAAATTACCAAAATTACCTCTTTAATAGAGATCAGCACTAATCCCAACCTTAATTCCTAAAATGATCTGCAATAAGATTTATGAAGGTCATGTAGTCTTCACAATACTTTCTGGCTATTAGAGCCAAAAACATTGCCTAGAAACCTCACCATAACCCTGCCATTTGGCAGCAGGAAGAAGGGGTGGTTTAGTGAGGTTCTCTGTGCCCAGATCCTTATCAAAACGTGCTGTCATCTGTGTCTTACAAAGCTCACTCCAGGGCAAGAGGTCTTAATCATTTCTGATACAAAAATTATCTGAGAATAGAGTTTAAATGGCACAGCACAAAACTAATGGTAAAAGGAGTGAAAAGCATGAGGACAGCTGAAGGAGTGCAGAGCATAGCCAAGAAGAGTGTTGTTAAAAAGCGTATGACACCTGCTTTGCAAAGCACGTGTTAGTACTTGCAGAGAAATGTTCGGATACTAGTTTCGGAGGTTTGTAGAGTTCTGGAAAGCAGTCTAAGTCTCTGTTTTTCCAGCCTGAAAATAAATCTCCAGGATGTAGATTTACCACATGACCTTTCAAGGCAAACTGACAGCATGTAAGTCAAAGTCTGCTTTGGGAGCACTCTTGAGTTACCAGACCTAGGAGTTTCACAGCAAAGTCTCTTAATGGGATGGAATTCAAAGGAAAAATAGCAAGAATCATTTGGAAACACAGTGTAAACCAATCAAAACACACTTTCTGCTATTCAGATAGAGACTAAAATAGAGATTAGTAGCCTTGATCTGGGGAAGGTAAATGGAGCTGTGGGTGTGAATTCAGGGTCCCTGAAAGAGGCTGGCTGAGGTGATCCAAAGGAAGCGATTGTGGAGACTGTGGGGCCTTCGCTGCCTCGGCTGTCACTGCAAGGCTCTGCCCTGGGTGCTGCAGTGGTGAGGAGAGCGGAAGTTGCAGCCGCTCTCAAGTTTAACACCCACCTAACTGGTGGTGCCATGTAGATGACACACAGCCACAGAGAAGGAAACCAGAGCAAGTAACCACTGGAATATGCAAGGAAAGGAGGCCAAGGAAGGAACCAAGGTGTCCCCCATGGCAGAGATGGGCGACAGGTGTGGGTCCCTGGTCAAGGTTCTGGTTCCCAGCAGGGAGAAGTCAGTCTTTAGTGGAGAAATAGAACAGGTATGCTCTGGGCTGGCCAAAAGAACAAAAAGTAGATATAGAGTCAGGGATTGATTTTTTAAAAAATTAAGACAAGAATAAAAACTTTGAGTAAAAATAGAAGGAAAAAATGAAAACAAAGCTTTTGTACATGGAAGGGGAGGGGTGGAATAAAATAATAATGAAAAAGAATAAAGACTTTGAGGCACATGCCTGTGATCCAGCGCTTGGGAGGCTGAGACAGGAGGACTGCTGTGAGTTCAAGGCCAGCCTGGGCTGCACAGTGCGTTCAAGGCCAGCCTGAACTGTATATTGAGACCCTGTCTAAGAAAAAAAAAAAAATACAACCATTTTGCAAAGCTAGTGTCAAAACTGAAATTCGGCTTCATGTTTGTTCTGGTGAGGGTCCATGATCACTGGCAAGGCTGTGGAAAAGAAGGTTAAAGCATGAATTCTTTATTTGAACAAATATTTATTGTGTATCTGTTATGTATCAGGTGCTATGGGTACATTTTCGAGCAAAAGAAGAGAGAGTTTAAATAGTTACAGTTTTCAACTATTTACTATCTGGCTATCTGATTTCCAGATTCTGCTGATGTCAGAGTAAGAGGAAATACCTTTTTTTTTTTTTTTTTTTCCTGAGACAGGGTCTTGCTATGTAGTTCAGGCTGGCCTTGAACTCACAGTGATCCTCCTAGGGCCTCAGCTTCGAAAGTGCTGGGGTTACAGGTGTGTGCCTTGACACCTGGCCAGGAAATACTGTAAAATAAGAGCAGTTTTTGTTGAACATTATCGTGGAATAGTCTGTTTTCTTTTCCAGAACATACTCTGGCTTCTCAAAGATTTCCTACCTCTTTTGTCTCTCTTTTGTTTCCCCCAAGCTAGTTTATTCTACTTCTTCCTTTGACCCTAAATTCTACCTTTCAGTCACCATTCCTTCACCCATACAGGCACATTTCTGTCATCCACCCATCTGTCCGTGCATTCATTCATTCAGCAGACAGTAATGCATATCACATTACAAGTACAATGTATTATGTATACAGCAATACGTGGGAAATGCTTCTTCTCTAACAGAGCTCCAGCACCAGCGGGGAGACCGCAGGAACAGCCCCTTGGAGCAAGTGGTGTTACTTTGATGGAAGTATTATTGGCTAATGACACTGGATATTGTTTTATTAAATAGTTTTATACATAGGTTGTGCTGGGCAGGGAGTGAACAAGTGGTTAGCTGTTGTTTGTTTTATAATTTCTTACATTTTCTAGAATGGTTGAGTATAAGGCTGGGAAACATTTGTTAATTAACAAAATTGGAAGAAGTAGGTTTTATGACCCTGGGGCCATAAATGAATAGAAAGCATGTGTATTTTCTCTCTGAAAGAACAAGCTGAGTGAGATAATCTCAGAAATTTCCTTCTCATAATGAGGAGTACTCAATGAGAAGGATACTTCCCCTACTCAAAGTGTAGCATTTTAAAAAAGAAGACTACTTGCATCAAAATTATATGCCCATTGGTTTACTAAATTCATTCTGTTGTTTGGAGTTTATTTCTCATAACACACTGCAAATCTATGTCTCTTTCCAACAGAAGCAAGACAGTTTGACCCTTTAGTCTTCAGCTAGTCCTAGGAGCTGTTTACCCAGGAACCACTGGAGAGTCTAAGGCTCAACCTAAAGAATGTTAAAACCTTATTGCTGTACTTTCTCTTTGTGTTTCCTAATGTCATGAAGTGCCTCTTGGTAGAACTGTCTTGTCCCATTTAATTTCTACCTTTGGCCTTGTAAATTATATGAGCACCGTGACAAAGTTCATCTGGAAAACCACACAATCCCCTCCTTGGCTGACCTTGGGAGAAAAAATGTGTAGCAAGTTTTGCCTTTTCTTTGATGTTTTAATCTCAGATGCGATCAGCTCCTATCTTCAGCACAAAGCTATTCCTGTTAACTAGTTGGCCCAAAAGTCTCACTCCAGGCCACTGATAGGTCTCCCAGTACCTCAGCAGCTATTATGTATAGTAGCTGCCCTCTTCCTATGGTGCCTTGCCCCCTCCCCTGTGTGACATCACGCCAAGGTGGCTGCTCCCACCAAAGAATAAACCCTTCTTCCCAGCATGCCCCTGTTCCCGCCTAGAAAGTAACCTAATACTCGCTCACCTCCTACCACATAGTGACATCACCGGCTCCTCCATTCCCTAGTCACTGCCTCACTCAACCCCACCTCAGCCCCTACAAACCCCACCCCAGTCTCTATAAAAGACTCTCCCTGCCCCAGCTATATTGCTTTTGTCTCTCCTTTGTTCAGAGACAGCCCGGCAGATCTATTCCCCTAATAAAGGCTTGCTGTGGCCTGGTCTGGTCTTGGTCTTCGGCACTTTTACCTGACAGCCACTTGTG